GTTTTAAAAGGCATCTATTGACAGTTAACCTATGTACACTGGGTCTTCGCCATATATGTTGTCACCTCAATCTACACTACTGCAAAACAGGCCTATATTCGTACAAGTTGTAAAGTGGATCTAAACATTGAGAAAAAATCAGCTGAAACTACAGAGACAGATTATCGTTCAACCTTGAAGTTGTGGGCAGCTGGTACAGTCAATCCACATCGGCAACTTTCAAGATTCGTCGCATACCGCTCTATCACATCCCTTGCCCACACACTTACTTGAATGCGGAATATTTTTCCATGCAACTGCATCTGGCTAGGTGAAGTTTTGTACTGGAGGAACACGCCCGGTTCGAATGCGCGACGTAGTTCACACTGATCCGGTTCAAGCATCATCATCTGATTGAAGTCGACCTCGATTGGGCGTCCGACATCGGTCAACTTGGCCAGCCCCGGAGTGGATTCACCAGTACGTAGCTGATTCGCGTAGGTCGTATACGCACGTTCCAGGCTGTCACTGACTGCCGGTTTGAGAGGTTTCAAGCGATTTCCGCGACGGACTTGGCTCCATCGAACGCCAGAACTAAGGACGCGGGGATATTTAGTTAATAAAACAGAATATTGTTACGTAACAACATCAAGCGGGTGTAACGAAAAGACATTCGGCAAAGGAAAAGAAAGTAAGAAAATATATTCAAGTGTAAACAACAGTCTACCGCAAAGCAACGCATACGGATCATATCTTTTATTTGAAAAGCAATCATTCGCAAAGCCATAAAAGATGTGTTAGGACCTTGTTCGAAAGAATCCAAACGCAATGCAGCTCCAACATACTCAAGAAGAAAGATACATCCTCAGAGTATTTGCTTGCAATGGCTACCCCCGCAACTTCGACAAAAGAACTCTGGCTCAAAGAAAAAAAAAGAAACAACAGACGGAGAATCGGGAACAAGAACAACCCTGTCGTACATCAAGGACATTTTGGAAACGGCAGCAAGACTTCTCAGATCATATGGACTCCAAGTCGCCCACAGACCTACCGCTTGTCTAAGGAGACTTCTATCAAGACCACAGGAGAGAACAATGGAGAAGGACAAGAGCAGCGTGATCTGCAAAATAAACTGCAAGAACTGCCCAAAACAGTATATCGCACCAAATGGAAGCAAAAGTGTCACTAAGGTTCCGTGAACACCAATCAGCACGCAGGATACTTTACCCATTGTCGTTGATGTCCCTTCACGAGGATCAAGCAGGACATCAATTTGACTTCGAATCGGCGAGAATTATCGACCAAGCCCGGTCAAACACGGCGGAGAATTTCTCGAGGCTTGGCACCCTTCAATCAATTAAATAAACAGGCACATCGAACTGGATCACGTGTACACATCAATGCAACTCAAGGATCAAATGACGAAACCAAAAGGGTCACTCCGTGACCTGAGAACGGACCAAAATCGCAATCATGACGGAAGAATAATTGTCCCCCACTCCCACCCACCATCACACCAATTGAACGGCGAACCGATAGTGAGACCAAGGGACAAAAATAATCTGCGGAGGAGAAAAACATATTTATAAACGAACGGATACAAGCAGAACACTGCTACTCCAGATGCCGGTGATGAGACGTTTACAACGAAATTGCCAAGCTCAGTAAAATGGGATTCAATTCACCCGAGCTAAGAGAACGAGTTTCAATACTTTTTCAACAATAGGTCAGTAGAAATGGAATTGATCACTGGAAGTGCCAAACTGGTAAACGTCCTTCGTGTGAGAGTTCAGACAAGTATGTGGTGGCGCAGTGGTTTAGTCGCTGCCACAAGACCCTATGACTCGAGGTTCGAGCCCCACCACCGCCACCCAACTTTGGTGGTGGGCAGCTCTGCTGTCGTCCGGGTCAATACCACGCCTAACCCATCGGGGACTAATACGCTTCACTAATCCAAGTCCCGGGGCTTAGGTTACCGGTTTTCATCACTCAACAGCAAGTCCTTGTGACTATAGGGCTTTCCCCGTCTGCTATTCATCACACGGAAGTGTGCAATAAAAAAATGTATCAGAGCAACATTTATGTTGCACTTGAGTGATATGTAACGTAACCATCACAATCAATACCGATCGTTTTGTTTTCCGAACAAAAGCCGTGAATGCAATTCTTCGAAGAGTAGGATAAATGAGTGGATTCGAAGCCATTCACAAGGGTAATGTGTATAAGGGTCATCCCAATAGTTTTGGCAACAGCAAAAGTTTTGTGTTCAATGCTATGCAATCGTCTAATCTGAAAATCGTTATACTGAGCCAACTTCTATCAGTATATTCACGAAAAGTTCTGATGGATCTATCGAATGAACATTGCTGATTTGAGCCTTCCACTGTTCGCCATATGATCGCGTGTAATAAAAGAAGAGATAAACCAGGTCTAAACTGAGTCTGGTCATTCGCCCGTTCCCGTGTACCCACCAAAGAAGCGAGCACATAGAGAGAGGGGGGGGGGGTTGCAAGTTCGATTACC